TGAACGTAATTTTGGCCCTGGGGGTCATCAGCTGCCACGGCGGAGCACAGGCTGAGGAGAACGAAGGACGTCAGAGGGAATGTGGTGAACTTACCCTCGGAAGACCCGGATAGCAAAATTCTCTGAAAAGTGCAAGGATTGTGCGCAAGCTAGCAGAAAAAGGTGTTGAGAGCGTCTGCCAGGATGTTGCGCTCGTCGATCGCAGGTGGTGCAACCGAGGTATCTAAGTTGCTTTCAGGAGTAATCATACGGGGTTTGGTCGCCTCTCCAAGCTGCCGTGGATTCGCCGCGGGAGCTAGTCAAGCAGGCGATGATCTCACCAATGCAGACAGATACTCAGTGGTTTTTGGTGACACTAAAACGCTGCTTTCGCAGGCGTGCGAGGTGGTGGACGCTGAGATCAGTGGGAATGGTTCTGGGGCTGCTCAATTGCATCTAAGTGATAGCGCCTTGCCCGCCGAGAAAATGGGGTTCGGCAATGCTTCTAGTGCGGACATTTCTTCCCTTCGGTGGCCAAGGTTTCAAAGCGCTGTTTTTGGCTCCTTCACAACCGGTGCCTGGCAAGAAGAGGCCTTATTCCGACAGCATTCACAGGCGGTGCACTCCATTGCACTTCGTCTCAAGGATGCCGGAAGGACGATGGACGGTATGAGTACGCAAGGGCAGATCTCGGAACCTTTGGGTTTAGTCGCTACCAGCGGGCACGTCGACGTTGCGGAGCAGACTTCAGAATCTGCATCCGATGCTCTCGATGGAGTCGGTGCCGAGGCTGCCACAAGCGGGGAAACTGCAAGTAGCGAAAGCGAGCGCTCTGTCGCGGGCAGCGATGAGATGCGCGGCGACCCACAGGAGGTGGATCAGGATCATGCGGAAGCGGGGGTTACGAGCGAGTCGCAAACAAAGGGCGCGAGAAACTTTGCCCGTGAGCAGGTGTGCACAGTGACGATTGTGGCCAAGGCGTTTGAGCCTGAGATGGTCGAGTACTTCCAGGACTCGGTGCTGGCGGATTGGGTCGACGACGAGGAGCCGACGGCGGCGCTGGAGGAGGGGGCCGGTCAGGGACCGCGAGCGCTTCTGGAAGGCCACCGAAAGGCAGACGATGTAAGTTTGACCCAGTCCGGTTGCTTTGGACTTTTTTGGAAGAAGAGGGACACTTTTTGGCCAATGATGAGTGGTGTTACTAGAGAGGGGCGCCAATCACCCCAATCTGCAAAAAGGTGCAGTTGTCTCGATCAAGAGAGAGCTTTTAGATTCGCTGGTTTGACAAGGTTCTTCAATGCTGGGTCTGTGAGACAAGGTTCTTCACTGCTGGGTGTGTGAATGGTATGCAGCATTGACGTTGCTTGATTCTGTGAGTCCATGATTGCGAGGTCTGACAAACTTCCCTGGACTCTGCTTCATTTCTAAACGGCCAGCTCTTTCCAGCTTTTCAGTGCTGATTTTGCGAGCATAGTATCTAGATTCTGTTTTCACCTCAAAACATGGGAAGTGCACCGTAAGCATGCTTAGATTTCAAGGAACATGTATCCAAGCTTCTCCCAATCTGCGAAACACCTTGTCAAGCGACGATGAACTTTACTTGCTTTCATATGATGGTTCTTTGGACCTATCATGTATATGTCTCCCTTTTTGAAGTATGCTATACTCAGGCGCTGATGCGTGTTTTCAAAACCACCATTTCAGGCATCTGCGACGCCTTCAACCTCATCACCCCCGAAAACTAAGGCTCGAGCTGTGTCAGCAATCCTGCCAACCCACAAAAGAAGGTTCACGGTCTTGAGATCGCCCCACATTGATAAGAAGTCAAGAGAACAATTTGAAATCAACGTACACAAGCGTCTTGTGAAGATCCGAGTTACAATGCGGGAACTGCCGCTGCTAGTCAACTGGTTGAAGGAGCAAGCTTTCATAGGGGTGCAGCTTGGAGTCACTGTGAAGTATCAAACACCTCTGTCGGTGCCAGGAAAACAATGATGTGCATAAGTCTTTGTGGTAAAGACAAGCATTATTTGACCAGTGACTGATTCTTGAGATGGTTCCTTCGGAAGCCGGATCAACTGGATTGAATCTTGTCTAATACATGCTTGCTGATCTGTAGCCTGCCGAAAAGTTGCTGATTAAATCTACCTCTTCGGTGATTGCAAGAAACCCATTCGAGTGTGTGCAAGTCTGCGCCTATCAAATTCATTTCTGTGATTGTTCTTGAAAAGGAACAAACTGACAGCAGTTTTACATGCATGCCAGTCATGATTTGCAAAGGTTCGAACTGACTGGGCCAATTATGCAGCCGCCCTCCATGCCCCATTTCTAGCTTGAAGATCGATCTGGCATGCATGGCCTTGATGCGACTCACTGACTCGAGTTAATCCGGATGACCACTGCAATCACGTGCCAATTCATGATCGCCTATAGCTGGCAATACAAATGAGTGGAGTCTTCCGAGTCAATATGGTATTCGTTCATGCAGCATGGTCGGAACCGGGTCCGAGTACATGTCGGCGCATATCTTCAGTATGCAACTGCATACGTACCATGCAACGCGATATACTCAGTCAGACAGCATCATTATGAAGAAGCATGTCATGGAAGCGACAAATAGTTTTGGCAGCTAGCTACCTGAAATTGCATTATTGCACGTGGCTATCATGGACACTGAGAAATCATGCAGCGGCGCCGGTCCGATCATATATTCTGAAGGCTTGACTCACGAATATGCACTCGATTGCATACTGCAAATCTTAGCGCAAGGGTAAGCCCATTGGCCATGCTTTGCGTGGTCACTTCGAAAAGCTTGAAATGCATGGAGCGACTCATGCAACGGTGAGATAATATAATCTGAACTCCTTGGTATATGAATTGCGTGCCTGAGATGAACCTAGACACCAATAGCTCTACACGAGAATCAGGATGCGCGCTGCTCAAGCTCTCTACAAAGGCTGGCGAATAACGGTCCATTTATCACCACAAGCATGACAGTGAAGTCCGTATCATCAAGATGATGAGGAAGACAATTTTCCTGTGTAAGCTTCGACAAAACTGTAGATGCGCTGATGATACAAAAGCCTGTGAACTCAACGGAGGCTCCACAAAACGAAAGGGTTACGAAATGCCAATTGAAGCAGACTCTTCAAACGGCCTATTGGTCCTCCTTGTCCTTGCTGTCTACCCCCTTCTTGTCTTCAGCCTTTTCTGGCGTCTCCTCGGAAGCGCTCTTTTCGTCCTTGACTTTAAGCCCTCCCAGTGCCTCCGCAGCTTCGTCCGCAGCCTCGTTCTCCTCCTCTGAGGGGCCCACCCCCAACAGTTTGCCCATCCTTTCGGTAGCGTCCTCGAAGGCGTTCTTGAAGTTCTGGGCATCTGAGGACAACAAAAGAACGGTGCTATGAGTCGTAGGATCCTCCGTGACACAACAATGAGCGGAACGGATATACGGTGTCTTGATACTGGGGGCCTTTTTGTGGACGTGAACAGCCGCTCAACATCCGTGCAACGCTTTGTGACACGTGCATTTCTATGTGACACGTACGACGTGATTGCGTCCACAATTTATAATACTCATCACCCGGCTTCTCTTGCATACAGTACGATAGAAGAAGCACAACGAGCTGAATTGCTCGCATTCCCTCCTTACTTTGGTGAGGAAAGAGTTTTTTAGTAGCTGACTTACCTACATGTGTTGTATTTTCTGGGAGAACCTGAGAACGTGAATACTTTCAAAGAAACGAGTACCAAAAGATTGACATCAACAAACGCACACCACCTGACTGTAGACTCTTTCGGCGACAGCCTCGACCCTTCAATGCTCCTGTCTCTTTCGAACTGGCCTTCCCATTTCTTAAACAGCGACGTTGGTCTTGTGCAGTGACCGAAGACTGTTCGTTGACACTTCATAATGACGCCGAGCTGTTGGTCTCTGCATTCGCTAGGTCTGAGGCTGGAGCGACCAATTGCTCATTTCGGAAATACTCACTCTCGACACTGCCGAACCGGATTGCAAACAGCTCGTCTTTCAGTTCGCCGTCGGCAAAGTCCGCAGCATGCCACACCCACGACTTCTCGCTCCCAGCGTGCTCTTGCAGGGCCATGCCCGGCAGCACTGAAAGACAGGAAAGAAACATGAGACACGGCATCTAGAACCACTTCGGCAGAAATGGGTTGAGACGTTTGTTCAATGCCTGTACACCCAACTGATCCTGGCTCCTGTGCATGTGTAGAGAGCTTCGAAATAGCAAACTGCAGGTTTGTAGAGCAAGCACAGGAGTACAATCAAAAAGCCTTCATCCAGGTATGCAAAAGATCAGGTCATGACGTTGCCAATTTGGCAGCTTCCTGATGTTAGCACCGATGAAGTTTCCAAGGCCTCCGCACCGCTTGTACGATTTACCCCCAAAGTCAAAGTACTGGCAAAACCCTTTTAATAATTGCACGCACTGTGGTTTGAAGATCAGCTGGGAGAACGCAGGAAAGTCCTGGTTCCGTGTCACACAGGCAGACGACAGACTGGCAAGCAGCAAATACCCCTGTTTCGTTTCAATTACATCGGGCGCTCTGGTCAAATGTACGTCACGGTGTAATCACAACCACCCCGGTGGAGCGGAGCACCGGAGCACCTACCTACGAAGTTTGCGCAGATCTTAAGCGTCCGGTTCTGACGCATTAGCACTCTGATCCTGTCGTTCTGCTTGTGCTGCAGCAGCTTAACCTGGCCCACGCCCCTCTCCTTCCACTCGGTCCTCTCCTTGTCAAACCGGTACAGCTTTGCTTTCCTGTACGCACCAATGGGTCTTTGCAAATCAACAAACTCATTTGTGGCTCTTCATCGACCGCTAAGCTATAAAGCAGACGCATTAAGAAGCTTGCATAGCAGTTGCTCTGCACAGATGTTAACCCGTTGATTTTTTTTTCTTGGATTAACCAGACGAAAGCATGAACTGCGAGGCACACTCTGCGCAACTTGTCACTGAGGAACTTGTCCTGAGCAATTTTGAAACCTGATAGACAAGCCCTCCAGGAATTCGACAAAAACCCCAAGGTTCTGCAAAGCTTCCAGGACAGGTTACTCCAAATCCAATTTCTCCAAATAATGAACTAGATGACTTCTGATCAGCAAGCTCAACCTAACTCAGAAGATACGGTGAAGCTCTGGTGGAGTGAATTGTACAATTCTGGATTGCCGCACCGACCAATCATTGATGTCAAACAGCCAGGGTTTCTGCTTCACACGCTCCCTCGGTAATGCTTTCATTACACAACCTTTAAATGTACTTTGAGCACGCAGGTGGCGCACTAGTTGCATCAAGTAGCATCACAAGCTTGAATCAACTCAGTCGGCTGCTCAGCACTCACACTTCAAACAAAGTGGTCTCATCCTCCTCCCCGCTTGAAACCTGCTGCTCGGTCAACTGGACAATTGGAGCAAAGGCGGCTCCTGTATCCTCCTCTCCTGTCCCTGTCGCTTCCTCTGAATCTTCGGCCCCTTCAGCTGTCGTTTCTTCGTCCTCCTTCTTCTTCCCAAAAACAGGCGTTGGCGTCTCGTTCTTCATGAAAGCTGGGGTCACGCCTTCCTCCTTCTTCTCAGGAACTGCATCCGAGGAGCTCGCCATGGTGACTTCCGATCCTAAACTCCTGAAGAGATGCTTCTCAAGAACGTCGCCACTCCTATCGGAACGATGGGGTGCACTGTTTGAAGACAACAAATTTCAAAGCGATCGCCAAGAGTCAGACTCAGGCCCAGGGTCAGATCGAGCATTTCGCATGTCTCGAGCTTCGTATTAATACGGTTACATTATTAATACCGTCTAGCACGCCGCGGTAATGGTGAATCTATTTCTTTGGGGCCCAGCCCGACGCGATGATTGGCCCGCATTATGGTCCGGTAATGGTTGACTCTCGGCTACGCGCGCAGTCTTTCTGAAGCCGTCGGATAGTCTCACATGCGGTTGATCGACGGACACTATTGTAGACCAGCGGGTGGAGTCTAAAATTGGCGGGAAGCAATCAAATTGCATACCGTAGTCCAACGTAATGATTCCGAATAAATAAATAATTATCTGCGTTCGGAAAGTCAGAAATTCGGATTTCCCATTCGGAAAGTAGAATTTCGGAAAGGTAAAATAACTTTGAAATAGTCCTCGGAAGCCGTAAAACTGCCAAAAACAGCCGAAAACTCCCCTTCCAAGTCAGACCATAGGGCATTCGGATTCTGGTCGGAATCAGCATAAATAATTCCACTTATTTGGTCGGATTGTTGGAAAATAATTTGAAATAAAATCGTTCGGAATCATCACGTTGGACTACGGTAGGTACTGTACTCAGCAGGGGCTCAGCCTGAGGCCAGTGAGGGTCTAGGGAGTCCTGCCCAATGGCAATGTTGAATGTGGTTTCACTCTGAACTTCAAGTTCAACTCTTGACAACTTCAAATTTGGGCCTTTACCTACTGAACTTCTATGTAAGTTCTAAAGCTTACCTTAGTCTGTATGGCCAACAAGTCTTCAAATTGCCACTGGCACAAGGTTCCCAAGTCTGGTTGATGGAGGCTGATTCCTTTCCAGAATAACTCCTGCCACTGCATCTAGGTATACGATTTTGTCATGTGCGTTGGTCAGTGCGGGGATCATATGTTGGCTGAGCGGCACGTTGATGTAGTTCCTGAACAACATGCAGAGGGTTAGGTGAACGGAGCACTGTGATAATTTTCCTCATTGGCGGTCATCTAGGATAATTTGCTTTGGTTGCTGGGGCCCACTTTGGGTAACTTACACAAATATCATCTGTGCAAAAAGGCAGCTTCAACCTGTGCGCCAAGTAGTGCATTGGAGCAATGGAAGAAAGACCTGGTGAAGATGCAGATGCGCCAGACATCAACATGGGCTCGCACGTTAGCTCGCTGGTTAGAGTCCGAGACTTCAAATCGGAAGGCGCTGAATTCCTGGAAAACGCAAAAGATATGGTGAGGGACTGGAGGGTATGTCAATGTATGATTTGTTGCAGTCAGAGCTGATTTTGCAAGGTAATTGCTAAACGAAGACTTCAAACATGCAATCTGGTTACATGGAGATGGTGCCCAAACAAACATAGAAAGACAGTACGAATTTGTTTCTGAGCTATATTGCCAGATTTACAGGGGTCTCAATCAGCAGGTATCTAATGCGCCCCCTTCACAGTGTAACCTAAAGAGTCTTCAATAGGTCGAAATGAAACAGTGGCGGGACTGTGGCTTCCTCCATTTTTCCGACCATGCCGGCAGTTGCACCTGCCCGTGCATGAAGCCATGGATATGTGAGGGTATGGCCTGGTGGTAAAGTAACGATTCTCTGATCTGCACTCCTCTCTGGTTTGCTGCAGGTTCACGAGTGTTTCGAACAGGGCTTTCAGCAATTTCAAAAGTGAGCTATATTGGGGTCTGCATTTACAGCTTCTGTTCTGGTCCTTGTCATGGCTCGAAGCTGCTTATCTGGCCCCCCTGAGATCTGAGATCCTCATGCAATAAGCTTCAAGTAACTGTTGTCGTTTGGTTGAGCAAGGCCTAATTGTTGATGCGTCAACCTGAGCTCTTGGCTTTGCAGGGTGCGTTTCTTATAAATGGTAAAAGCTCAAGCAATGTGAGAGCTGCAACATGTGTCCAAACGAGCCCACATTTCACCTGGTGCGTAGGCCCTGCCAATTCCATTTGGCCTCTTTCGTAATGATGGCAGAGTTGGCAGGGAGGAAGCGACAAAGTCATGTTGACGTGGAAGAAGGCTCCAACTTATGCATCACCCTTGCTGCTTGCAGGGTCATAAACGAGGACCAGTCCTTAGGCTTGAGTGACGAGGCTAAGTTTAAAATATTTGAGGTGAGCCTTCGTTGCATATGCATAAGTATTCTGCTGACAGATATATCACACTGCAGACGACCAGATCACTGCACCTTGCCAGCAATCAGAACCACCCCACAAACGGACATGTGTGTGGCAATGCAATACTGATGACAGAGCGCCCCTCAATGCGAAGTTTGCAAAAAGCTCATGACCAGCTAGTTCTCTGCTAACTCATGAACCTGTAACTTACACAACAACGGAAAACTTGCTCGGCTTTGCTTGGAAAAGTATACGGGTTCCATCGCCAATGGACTTGAGGGCCTCAGCTAGCCATCGAAGTCTCAGGCTTGACTACGTTTGTCCAGGATATCGAGGATCTATACGATAATCACGTGCAAGAAGCACTAGATTCCAGCCTTGCGGACTGGGAGCGGGATGCGCTCCGCAAGGTCTTTGCTCTGCCGCCAGCTCTTCTCCTTCCTCAGCCTCAGGTAAGCGTGCTTGGCCTACTCGATCCCGCACTTTTCTGAACTGTTCAGCTTGCAGATCCAAAATCTGAGGCTGAGTGCCAAGGGAACACAGTCACCTGCTCTTTGTTCCTTATTGAAGTGGGAATTCTCAGAAATATGTGTCCGAAAGCTGTAACAAGCCATAGAAGAACCATCTTGGCAGGCTCTTTGACTCCTTTGCCGATTGACATACATGCCTTCCGGTGGCCCATGTATCACCAGTACAAAAGCTTGTAAGCGGCCCACACTAGCGAAACGGAAGGGATAAAGCATGGACAAAACGGAAGGTCTCCTTGGCACCCATCCGCGCACCCCTGTCTGACAGGCCCCTGGAGCTTCAAATGGTGCTGTCTACAACCCGGCAGAGGAGCAAGCGCTTGACGCCGAGCTTCAGGAGCTGCGGGAGAGGATCGAGCAGGTATGCGTAGCCGGTCCAAGCACTTTTTAAACAGTTGAGCATCTCAGATGGTCAAGTCATTCAGGACGGAGTTTCAAAGCTGCACAACGTCCTGGTTCATATCAAAGACATTCTGTCGCGGATCCCTTACTTATCTAGGGTCAACATAACATGATCAGCAAAGAAACGCTTGAATTCTTTCCTACCTTCTGTCTGTGTGCGACTTCATCAACGTGGTTCCGTCCCCACCGGCATCAGCTTCGAACCGAGGGGCATGTATCAGCAGGGATGGACTTGGCTCCTTTCGTACATACCTTCTCGGTATGTGTGACTGTATCGAACTCTTTTCGTCTACACCGGCAACACTTTCGAACCGAGGGGGCCGCCTCAACGAGCACTTGATTTTGTCAAGCCCCAAAGATCTTACTAATCTCGGCTTTGGCTTGATCACATTCGGGCCATATTGCACTACGTCCGGGCTTGCAGTGGATGGGCCCCTTCACAGCGAGCAATCGTCTCCTTCCGCCCGTCTACACGTCTCCATACAAAGTGTCAGCCTCAGACTTCGCAAAATGAGACCCTTACCTTTGCTCTGCCGCGGGAGCAGGGATGAACATAATAGTTTCTGTGCATCCGAGCAAACGGCCAGCGGGAATGCCGACTTGACCCCAATCTGTCAGCTTAGGCCCAGTCTTTGATACCAACCCAGCTCGTGATCTCAAACCTAGATTTATTTTAGGGACGTCACAAAGACGAGGTCAGTCCGATAGCCGCCGTTTATGGTTCCTGCAGACTACCGCCTCGTCCGCTGGGCTAAAGAATCAGCTGCGTGCGACTGATCGAGAAATCAGCCGGTGCCAACGGGAGGCTGAAAGCCTCAAGACGATTGTGGGTTCCGCTGAGGGCGACGCTGGTGCGTCTCTCAACTCACTGGTTTCTTTTCGACCGTTTTGTGACCTCTATCGGTGTCAGCTTCTTTGGGGCATATCTGACCTTTTTAGGGGGGACGCGGAACGAGTTCCAGGCGCCCGTGCTTCTGTTAGTGGGCGGCAAGGAACAAGGACCCAGCGATACTCAGGGCCAGTGCAGTTGCGCGCAAGCCCAGTGCGAACTTGCATCTCCATATTTCAAAATCTGCTTTTCCGGCCGGTTCCCTGTCCCGAGTGCGACGTCTGCACTATTGCACTGCCGCTGTCATTCCCTCTACGTCTCTTCCTTTGGCCGTCTTCCCGTTGTTGAGGTGAAAAAGACTGTAAGCAATGCGGGAAAAAGAGAGATGAGGTCGATACGACATTTTGCAATCCGTCTCAGACTGGTAAGCAATCAAAGGAAGTAAAGTTTGACGACGGAGTTATGTCGGCCCCGTTAACATCAAGATGTCTGCTTTCAGATATGGACCGTTTTGCCGTTCCGAGATAAAACAAGCTACGCCTCACCTCACTGATCGATCGGTCACCAGTTTGTCGCTATGTCTCTCGTCCTCAATTTGAGTGACGGTTGAACTTCACGAGACGTCTGCTCCGTTTTTCGCCTCCCACGCTGTCCTCAATGATCGATTCTCGGGCCAGTTCCCATGCATCTTCAAGATTCGGATACATGTACGAACCTTTTGAAACAAGTTGCTTGTGTGGGAGAATCATAACTCTTTGTCTGCCTCTGCCAGTTGGAGAGGCGGCCCGTCAGGTTGCCGGCATGGCCGCGCGGTTACAACCGCTGCTTGCCAAAGCGGAGCAGTTACGGAGCCAGCGGAGGGGGCCTCTAGCCAGGCTTCGGGACAGAAAACGTGAGTTTCCGGGATTCTGTTGTGCGCTACTCAGAGGACAGGGTGTTCCTGCGTGTAACAGGCGAGTCTTCTAAGGCACATATGATTTCGCTTTTTCCCTCTTGTTGTTGAGATCCTCTCGTAACGACCTGTTGCATCTATTCCAGGGTCAGGAGTTGTCTTGTTGCCAAGAGAAGTGGTGTTCAATCACAAGTTTTTCCAAGGTCAGGCTAGCATACCGTTCGTTCACTGAGTAATTTGTCCGCAATCATGCTCCTTAGCTTTCTTCATTCTCTTCTTTGAAGCTGCCGTAGCTGGCTCTGACCGAGGTTGGTTAGACAAGCTGCAAATCGGGGGCCCAGAGGATATCGCGCTCCTTCGAAGTACGTTTGGGGCGCAGCCAGCGGTTTCGCAGTCTGTGGTTTCAACGAGGTCCGAAGAAGTCTCAAAGTCGCAGCCCAGCGTGCAACAATGACACAGCAGTGCATTGAAGTATGTTCGTGTTAGTTACTACACCATCCGTTTGTGGGAAAGAAAGGGGTAGATTACAACTGTCACATGAAGTGTTGGTGTATTTAAAGGCACGTGCAACTTGAAGGGATAGCAGGAATACGGACTTACTTGTCGGCTTTGACCAGAAAGTATCATGCCGCTTGTCTGGTGGACTGGATCCTGAAATCCAAGCAAGTGCTGGGTCCAACTCGACATCCCTGGTGTGCACCTTGGTCCGTGATAGTGCTTCCTCTGAAGCAGAAACCAGACAACGCCAACGACTGCCTAGCATGTTTAGACAGGTCGAGCTTTCCCCCCATGCAGACTGTTCTTGCAACCCACCCTCTGGTTTAGGTGCATGTATCTTCGTAAACCCAGAAACTACTGACGCTTGTACTCTGCTCTAGTACGGTTCCAAGGCCTTACCACTGTCATACGCCCAAACAACGGCGCCATGCATTGCATCTTGTATGAGGTTGCGTACTGCCGGTCGGACCTGCTACAAATGGGAGGCTGTGCGGCTGAGGGCAACAACTAGTTGTCATCCTTGCCAGCTTGAACGTACCAAGTGGGCGTTGTACACGTGTGCTCACCTCCCCTCCTTGATGGAGCTATAACTGATTGTCGAACTCACTCCCAACATGTTCTCAGTACGTTCGGCAAAGGGGGGCATCGACCATCAATCAACTCATTATATGATTCCTGCATGCATGGGATAAATATTTGAAGATTAAAGATGCTGACCGCATGAGCTTTTACCTGAGCTGAACGAATAATTGCTATGTTCACCATAGGTAAACGTCACGGTGTGCATGATATTAAGCGGCTGGCAATGCAATTCACGGCTGGTAATTACTATAGGATCCACTGATTATGTAATTGATTGGAATCAATGATTTTGCATGTGCATGTATACGACATGATGCCAGGCATTCAACTTCGCATACCTATATCGTATATGTCTATGTCACTCATATGATACGAGTGGTGCAGAGCCGGAATTAAGCAGCATGACTCTCACTACTCGCGGTTCCCAACGTCACCTACTAAGATAGCAAGAATGGTTTTGTCTCAAGAATTCAAGTCACTGAGCCGCTTGTTCCGTCTTCCAAGCTTCATCTGCACTAATTCTTATCTTATTTTATTGTTTGAAGGCTCTTTTGGGGGCATAAGTGATCATATTCACTGCAAAATTGCAAAGCTAGTGATCATGACATGAAGCAGACTGCAGTCCATGTGTCCATGGACGCATATGTGAATTTCACATGCAAGCCTGATCCCCAGTGCGAGCGTTAAAGCCATATAACCGAAGGTCACTAACACTGTACTCATCAAATAGTGAAAGTGATATATACGGTATACTACCGTATCATGGCGTGCATGAGCATGTTCCAACCAGGCCGCGGCCCTGTCACTCATGCCATTGGCCCATGTCGTTGCATGGTACATAATTAGTCGGGCATGTTCGATAGAGGCAATATCAACGACTCAGACAATTGCTAGTTGCACAATGATGTGCGTCGATCGGCACTTAATATCGCCACGAATGGGTGGAAATGTTTTAGAAAATCGCATTTCTTATCCATGATCGACTAGCATGTGGCATTTCTGTTGCAATCTCCTGATCATATGTTCAAACATAAACGTGCATGCATATCTGGACCGCAGGCTGCACTCAAGAATTAAGTACACGCGTATGTATCTTCCCAAAACATATCTGCCCAAGGAGTTGAGGGCTTGAAGGCCGACTCCGCAATAAATAGCTCATATGCGGAGTGCACTTGATTGCACCACCCTTTACTGCAACCGTTTGACACCTTGAAGCTTTGTGTGACATCTTGAAAAGCGGACAAGTCTGAAGAAAGTCCTTAGGGAGTGCTTCGATATTGTACTGTATTCTATCATCAATCGAAGGTGCTGCATTCGCGGTAGTCAACCCGAATTTGAGGGTGAGATCGTTGAAACTGGAGAAATTCAGATACTAAGTTGCCGGGCCCTGAAAATACCTCTGTCGCTGCAAAGATAATCACCTTCTTCAATTGGTTGCTCCTGCTCGCAATACTTTGCACAAACTCGAAGCACTCAGGCTCGTCTACGTCCAGGAAGTAGCAGATTGACTCCAGGTTTGTGAGGGTCCGTTCCCTCAAGAGGTTCTGAAAATGTCCGCCTATGCCCTCATCTGGTGGAGAACTCAGTCCGCAAGCTGCCAAAAAGCTGGCAGAAATGTAGAGGCTCTCAAGCCCTGTGATGTGCTCAACAAACTGAATGGCCTCGTCCCGAGTTATCTGTTCATCGTAGTCAACAAAAGGGATCACTAGCACCCTCAGTCTTGCAGGTTTTGTTAGCTTCAATATCGTCAAAAACTTTCCAACCGGTAATCTCTCCACAGGCGACGTGCCGTCTGGGGGCCAAGGATTTTGTCGCACGATCAAGCTTCGCAGATCAACCTTACTGCCAAGATCAAGAGCTAGATCTTTGTGGCATCCTTGAAGTCGGAGGAACCTGAGAGGTGCATCGACGACCTTCAGAGCATTACGGACACCCTCCACTGTGAGTTTGCAAAGAGCTGGCATCGTAAGTGTAACCTCCAGAAAACTCTCTTCTAAAAACAGGTTCTCCTTTAAAGATTCGTTGGGTGTCAGTACGACACAATTGATGGTGCTACTTTCAAGCCTGATGCGGTCGACGCCACTCAAACCTTTAAGTTCAAGCTGCTGAAGTTTCGGACAAAGGCCCACTAGCTGAGTCGATGACTCTTGGGTCATTGTGATACCTTGCAAATGGAGAGTCTCGAGGACTCTGAATCCACCTTTACACCTCACAATCCAGTCAAACGTTGCATTGAAGTCTCTTAGACCTGTAAGATGCAACTCTCGCAGGTGTGGGCACAGAGACGCTGCCTCCAGGCGAAAGTAGGAATGACATCTTTCCTGCCCTTCCATGATAGTCAGCTGCTCCAGACTCTGACTGACAGATGCTACCCAGGAGAGCAAGCTGCCCTCACACAGATTGTCACTTACAACTTTCAAAATCTTGAGACACCCCTTGGCCGTCCTGGCCAGCATCTGTGCAGTAGCCAGGTCCGTGCACGGCCAATTGAGCAGTTTCAGGCTGGGAAACTCGAATTCTATTGTGTCAACTTGTGTAACCAACGTCCTGAATCGCCGGCAAGATGCAGCAACCCGCTGGAGGCTCCTTACATCAGGAATCTTTGAGAGTATCTGCTCGAGTATCAGGCTGTCAGGAAGCCGCTCAAATGGATCATCGCTTCTCATTGTTTCGCTTTTCCCCTGTACCACTTTGCGGATCTAATTACCTTGTCGTGTCTCTCTGCCAGGATTGCCCTCCAAAGAGCATCAAGCACCTCAGCAACAGCCCTAACAAAGAGAGCAGAAACGCAAGCGCCCTTGCAATGAGGATTGGTTCATGAGAGTCTCTCGAATTTGAAAGTCAGCTCTGCAAATTCCAACTGCAGAGCACTGAGCGCTTTCCGAGCTTGCCCACCATACTGGTTTCTGCGCCAGCCTAGTTATACCGGGGGTTACCGTTTGCAAGGACTCTTTGTTACAGTCGTCCGTCGATTCCCCAATCGCGCGATCTCAGCCGTTCGTAGTGAACGACTTCAGACTCTCCGAATTCAAAACCTGCTTGAGGAGCCACACTGAAATTGTTCAACAGCTGTGAGAGTCTGAGACGAAGACAAGCAAGTGTGGCTTGGGAGGAGCATGAAAGTTGAAAGCGGGCTCATTGTGAATCGAAAGTTGGGCTTGCAGACGTGGTCCCTGCTGCACCGTCACGAAGCGCTTTCTCTCGTAGGGAACGTCTGACGCATCCTAACTTTTACGTCCAGTGAAATGCTGCATTCAGAGAGGTTGTCGTCTCTGACACATCAAAACAAACGTAGATAATTGCAGTCTACAGAATTGGTGTAAGTGCAAGGGTTAGGCTTGACGGAGGCGGCATCAGGACAGCGCTTGAGCTGCTGTGTTGAGCAAATGCAACACTGACAGGTAGAGTTAGCGGTTGCTGGACAGCTCAAGGAATCTTGATATGTCAAGGATGATGCAGGCGCAAGCACATCGCGGTGATCGCAACGAGGATGATCTGAATGAGCTGATGCCAATGCACTACAGGAAGCTGGCTCAACCGGAAGATGCTGACGGAGAGACGATGGGACTGAATGAGTATCTAAAATCAGGGGTGAGGAGCAAAGCACTACAAGAGCCGCAGTTGATGCTACTGATTACCGACTAGAACCCATGCCCCGTTGCTCAAAAATGACTGTGGGGCAGGATAGGACCCTGGCAGATTGCCCACACATCACAGCCATTGGCAAGGATGCCTACTGGGGTTGTTGACCCAGTGTTTGGTCGGCAGTACAAACCTTGCCTTTCCCGATCAGCAGACCATTGAATGCCGGTTTGTAGGTTTGTCCTTGATCCTTTGATTCACTCTCTGCAGAAGGGCAACCAAAGCTTTTGCGGCATTGACTGGGGAACCGCTGCAAGGGGACCCATGCAAAGTGACGCTTCCAGGTAGGTGCACCTTCTTTCTGAAGAGCAAGGAGTGTCGTATGTCCCTTGCAAGCATGGTCAATCACGACTAGGATATTACTCTTGGTCATACCTGTTGGTCCTCTCGTATGATTCCCTCAGTATATGATGGGATCAGTCATGTTAAACTGTGGCATGCTGTTTTTCGGGCAAAATCTGGAGAATTGCGCCTGCGTAAGCAGCGGTTTGTTACTGAGGTTGGAAACTGAAGACTGTCTCCTTCTGTTGAGCAGGGTTGCGCAGCATGCAAACCCACAGATAGCCACTGCTCTTCCTAGGGGCCCCACTCAGATGACGGCAATCTTGGAGCAGAGGGCTGGTAAGTGACGACTCATGAAATGGAATCATTGATTGCAGGAATCTGAGGTCTTCATCATCCTGTTGTATTTGCAATATGCACTCAACGGTAGCAGCTTCAGGGGTTACAAGTTGCCGCCTACCTAGAGTTGGTGTCTTTGGTGTGCTAAGGGTGTCAAAAAGGTGTGCGTGCACGTTTGTCCACATTAAACAGTCCCATACCAGTTTCACACACTGCACAATCTGGTAGCACGAGTGGTTCAGGTGGTTTAAGAGATTGCTTCAAGACATCCTTAAAATCTGTCAAGGACCGTCTCCGCAAATATTCAGGCTCTGAATCTTCTCTCACCCTGCAGGGGAGCCACCCGAGCAGGAAAACGTCCCCCCCAACTCAGACGCCCTTACGCTCTACCTATCCAAGCCTCGGCCCCATGCAAAGCTCAGGGGCTTACGAAAAGAGGGGTCCGGCAGGGTTCCCCAAATGAAGAGGACGTTTGGCCTCGATTTGAGGCAGCTTTCTCGGCAGCAGGAAGGCAGTGACAGCGAGGCAGAATGGGAGGCGGGGAACGAGGCGCTCGCCAGGAAGAAGGCGGAGAGATCTGCTCAGAGAAAGCGGGATGCGGAGAACCGGCGGCGCAGGCAGTCAGCAGGGGGCCCACGGGTGTCGAGGGGGGAGGGAGCGGAAGACATGGAGCTAGACTCAGATGATGACAGCATGGATCTGGACAGGAACGCTGAGATGGCTGGTGATCCAAAACAGAGACAGGGAGAAGAGGAGGGAGGTTTGGCCCGAAGAGCGGCTGTGAAACGTGAGTAGCACTTTCACCGAGCAATGAAGAAGCCTGATCGGTGTGCATCTTACGCTCTCCATATGTTTCTGTGAGGAACAGATGCTAGGTGTATGCTTGCGTCCAGCTCGCTCTTTGGAGGCCTTGTTAGCAGAGTTCGCAGGTATGCACTTGGTGAATGTGTGACCTTCTCGTAAGCGTCTCCACAAGTAGGGGAAACAGATGTGCAATATCATGTAAAGGTTCTTGTTGCACCTTCTTCCAGGATTGCGCTCTCGCATTCCAGTGCAGTTTCAACACAACTGCTTCAGCTTGCCATCCCTTCTTTTCTGCTCTGCAGTCGATGCAGCCTGGAAGACAAACCCCATCTTCGACAACGCATGGCCAGAGAAGCAAGCCGCGCCAGGGCCCCAAATCGTTCCTCCCCCTGCCGCTGTTTCCCCTCCCAAAACCAAAACCGCAGCAAACCCCAGCCCGAGCCAGACCCCACCCCCCCAGATCAGCGCCGCACCTCACGCCAGCCTATCAGCGCAGGCCAAAAAGCTAGCCGAGCGGATCCTCAAGGAGAGGGCCGCCGTCAGCAGTAGGTCGACAGCTGTGCACATGTCAGAAGCTGTACAGGTGGCAGAAGCTGGACAGGTGGCAGAGGAGGTGGACTTCCCGGCGCTGGAGGGATCCCCCCCGCGGGTCAACTCGGTCGGCTCGAGAGAAGAGGAGCTGGTTGCAGGCCAGATGGCATCTGGAAGTGCAGCGGAGGGGGAGATGCGAGAGCGGGAGGAGGAGATGCCGGAAGTGATGGACGGACCCGCAGAGGTGAGTCAATTTGTCCGATGCTGTGGTGAATGTGGCTGAACAGCCAGTGATTCTACAATCAAATGGCTGATAGCAACACGAACCAGAATGCGAAATTGTCCTGTGTACACGCATCTTTCCGACCATCGTTCCTAGAGACGGCAGCTAATCTGGCAGATGAAGGGGCTCAGTGGAGCAGCTGACAGAACGAGGTTAAAAAGGCAAGACTGCTGCATTTGATTCCCTGTCGGTTCTAATTCACCACTGCTTTTGACAGAGCTCCAGAATTCGGCTCCCAGAGCAGAACACTGACTTCCCCCCAATTCGTTCGAGCGAAACAATTCCTCTCCCTTTTAAAAATCAGCCATCCATAGACTTGAGAGCGGTTTTGAGCATCCTGTTTTTCACCTTCAGGACGAGAGACCGGTTGAGCAAGCCACCACCAGCCAAGCCGCTGACGCTGCCACTGCCGCTACCCAAGTCCCCATTGGGAGCCGCGCCGTTGTCCGCTTCGCTGAGCGGAAGCCAGTTGAGAAGTTCCGCCGGCTAAAAACAATGCTCGTCAAGAGCAGGAAGAGCCTGGCAAGTGAGTGGCTCTCGTGCCTCCGAATCTTCCAAATGAGATGGGACCTGCTCACGCCCTAATTGTCAGAGACGGCCACAGGAAGTTCTTAATTCAGGCTGCTGGCAAGAAGCTGTTGTACTGAGCATACTCTCAGGAAAAAGTCTAGATATTTACAGGCTCCTCACATGTGCGTTTGCACTTCTCGAAGCATATCTGTGCTGAGAACCATCCACCCTGCTCAGCCGACCGACTGTTTGATCTGGTGTGAAGCACAGAGCTTAGCGCCGGCCAATACTTAACACCAGATCTTGAGATTCTTCACCTACTATGATCGCTAAAACAAAAGGCGGCTGGACCAACTGTAAGGTTTGAAAAGCCTGAGTTGGATGAGCTCGCTACGAGTTAAAACTCGGTTCTTGAGACTCATTCTGCACTGGCTTCAAGCAGGGTAATGCTGTTGGAATTGGCAGGCCGGGACGGTGTTCTTGCCGGAGGGGAGAACAAAGGAAAGAAGGAAGGGCTATGGTTAAGTGGACCGTATGCTTTCTTGCCGCAGCCTTCAGGCCCGTATGCAGGAAACGAGATGAACCTTGGGTAGGAAATCTCAAGAGTGACAGGTCGGATGTAACCCTTTCTTGTGAAAGAACGGTTCCAGGAAAGAATAAGAGCCATAACAGGATACTATCAGACTGAAACGAGCCCGCATTTCTGCTTTCCCTGGACAACAGAAGACTGATTAAAAGGAGGAAGGTTGTATGGGAAACAATAAGCAACACTGACAAGTAGACATTCTTTTAACTTGTGCCAGGCGCTGGGTTGACGATCGACCACGGGGTCCGGAGGAGCACTCGCGCGCGGCAGCGTCCGTTGGAGTGGTGGCGGAACGAGTCGTTTGACTGGGAGCGATCGCACGACAGTGAGTGCCCTGGCGTCGCTCTTCGACCGCGCAGATATGCGGAGATTCTGGTGTACTTATCCAGTGGTGGTTGGAACAATGACGCTTTGCGGGGACTCAAGATGTGGTTTCCCCGTCAGGACTGCAAGGACCCGGTTGGAAGCATATGCACGGCTTGCGGCGCTCCCACTCAACACGCACGCTGGGCCGATAATCAAGGACCGCGTCCTTAGAAGCTCTAATTCGAGTCTTGCAACCCATCTCAGTCGCGCGTGCACTGTGTTATCTTACAAGACAAAATGTATACGTCTTTTCCTTCCATTGTGACCTCGAAGGAGACTTGACGTCGTCATTTTTTAGCGAGCAAAGTCATAAATGGACAGCCCCCCCTTTCTAATTGGCGAGGTACTAATTGACACGCGGATAGTGGAAACTTCTGGGCGTATTCGCAGACGCTTACACAACTTTCGTGCCTTTGCAGGCCTCCCGACGATCTCGAAGGTCGTTTTGCTGTCGCCGGACCCCATCTGGCCTAGGAACGACGGCAGAAAAAGTGTCAAGTTGCAATCCATCAGAGCAGCTGCGAAGCGTCCGGCTCTCGCCATTACCTCGGGTTAGACGCCTTAACACTAACAAGCAGCGCTAGGGCAACCGCTGGTCGTCACTAAGGTTTCGTGCTAAGTGACACAGTAGCTCTAGTGTTTGCCCGTCGCTGGTCTGCATCTTGTTTTGAGGTGGATAACATAGGCAGATGGAAAGGATAAAGGCGTTCCTGATCCGAAAGAAGAACCTAGGACAGACATGTACGATACGGCCTGCTGACGGCAAAGCATGTTTGGCGGCAATGGCTGAAACTGTTTCGACTTGAAACATACAACCAATCTTTGTCCTTGACTCCCGGCAGATTTGTGCTGATGGTCGAACGCAAGATGCAGTCACGCGCCTGTCCAAACAACATCAACGATCGGCGAAGTTAGCCGTGTCCCCAACGCAGAACGGGGTTTGCTGTTTCATACAAACGTGGCGCCTGTTTAAGTCGGTCTGAACGAACTTCGTCTTGTTTAATATGCATACCGAACCTGCCACATGGCACGTTGCACGTCTGGTTCGGTATGCTTGATATGCACGTAACGGGCTGGGCCGGTCACTGGTCATTGGCCACGCGTTATTGCAGGACCGTGACATGCGAATCATGTCACGACCTTGCACTGAGGCATGTGGTGACATCGGATAAGTTTGATCAAACTGCAGACTCCTTCCGGATCGAACTGAATATCGTTAATCTTGACTTTACGCGGCCGCATAGGCGAATCTCCGGCGCCGCGGTGCTACATAGCAGATATTCATGCCCCGCCTCGGCTTTCACTGTCTTCAGGCGCGAATCTTAAAAGAATCACTCGACAACGGCGGCCCATGCAATTACACCATTATGTTAGCGATGTGCTCGAGCATATCGGAGCACACCGCTTAGAGGCTCTGAGCTAGCTACTGAGGTTGATGTGTCACATAGGTATATGTCGGGCATTCATGTATGGCAGGCCCAAAATTGGATCGGACTGGCTTATTACAGCGCTCCAATCAACCGTGTCTTGAACACAGTAGAGTTGGAGACAACCTTCACCATCACATCTCACACGAAACCCGTACTACGGAAGTCCGCCCAGCTCCTTGAGCAGTGTACCTAGTATGCAGCAGGCTTCAAGAGGTGTCTTTAGGCTAAGGTTTGCATGTTGTATTTTAATCTTGTGCAGGCTTCATCTTAGCCAATGTCGATGCAATCACAGCTCATTGACGCCCAAGTCATCTCCTTAACAAGGCAACCACCTAGCCGGCTGCAGAACTAGCGCCATAAGTGCTTTTGCTTTACAAGGGTTAGAGTCGTAACCAGTCTGATGATACGAAGAAAAGCTCCTGCCCGCTAGCTTTCTTCCATATTCACAAACGTGTCAAGACGACGAGTCTTCGCCCGCGTCCGTCATCTCGAACTTGCACAGCAGCCGCGGCCCGTGCCGCTTCACCTCGCCCTTCTTCGTCTTTAGCTGGACCACCCTGTAACCCAACATAAGCTCCCAGACTGGGATTACGGTCTGACCAACAAAGTACTCCTCGAGGCCCGTCTTATACTCCTCATGCGCCTCGAAGCACAGCAGCGCGAGTTCCGGCATCGAGAGCGGAAAGCGGAACCGCGCGTCCTCCCAGCAGGGGCCGCGCGAGGCGGGCGTCTTTCCGGTCCAGAACTTGCGGGTGTCCGCCGGAACGCCCACCACTTGAACCTGCGGCCAAAAGTAACCTGGTCAGAGCTTGAAAGAAAAGGGGTACCGGTACCGCCCATGTTTTCACCACTACAGGCAGAGCGTCACTGTATCCTCAACTTATACCCATCCGCTTGTCATAAAGTTTTTTGACTTTCAGGATCAGCTTAGTCGCCCCCTCCACGCTTCCGGTCCGCCGTCTTTGCAGAGAAGAAACCAGGATACAAGATGAGCTTAAGATTCCAGTCCCAAAAAAAAGGTGAACGGTACTCGGTAAACCCACCCGGACATGAAAGGACGATCCTAGGAAGGTGGGCCTGATCCTTCCCCAGTAGGCGCCCGAAATGACTTGCACCTGCAATGCACATTGAGCTGTCCGGACGTCGAGATACGGTAAGCAATTGCACGCTGACATGAGCGACCGCCCGAGCGTTTGCGAAGCTCGACGTTGGCGATTGCGGGATCTACTGCTTGAAGGTAGCGGAAATGGACTTCTCTAACGGGGTCAAACGTTCATCCTTCTCTGCATGGCAGTCAGACGCAGAACTTTTCTACAAGGAAGTTCAGAGGTTAAACGCAATTAGTTTCGATTGTTCCTGCTCAAGATGGGGGAAGGGGAGCAACTGCTATCTAAATGAAAAGCCGGATTCATCGCCAAACCCAAATTAAACTTCCAGCTCAGCGGTTGACTCCCAATATATCGACCCCAATAGTTTCAGGCAGAACTTCAATTCAACCTTTTATCGACCAATTGTCACGTGGCTCACGCTCTGCGAGGATAACGTGACCGGCCCAGTACTTTGCCTCCTACTTGTAGATCAAGCGGAATGTCGTTCCGTCCGCTCTTACCGTGAGAACCTTGGACGGCGGCGGCACGTCTAGCGGATCGAGAACGGCCTCCAACGGCGTCCCTTCGGGGGGGAGCATCACGTCTGGCTTCAGCACGTAGCCGGTCCCCCCGTTTGCGGAGAACATGCCGAAGTGGAGCCACAGGGGCCGCCCGGGGGTCTGCCATGGTTCAGGTTTTAGGGTTGCTTATTTGTGACTTGTTTAGGCCTTTGTTTGTCACCTGAGAAGACGTTGATTGAATATGCGCTATTCTTGAACGGAACTTTTTGGGACAAGTTTCAAACCGTTATGAAGCCTTTGCTTGTCCTGAAAAATCTGCAAATGGAGCCAAGAAATACCTACCAAAGATTATCTTGGCCTCTGGTAGAGCACTTTAAGAGCAGCTATAAGATTATGTCAAGCGAGAGGACCATCTCTGGCAGGCGCCAAGTTCACAATCTCCTTCACAGGGCCTTTCGGTCTGCCCAGTGTACCTTGCACGGGGATACGAGCGCCCAGTCTCTCGGCACATCACTTAATTCCAGTCGAGAGTTCTCCTCAAGAAAGAAGTACGCACGTAAACTCAAACGGAGTCTGAGAGATACGTTACCTGGATGTTCATAGCCGGCATCTGCACTCCGTGGATCCACGCGAGCATGGGGTTGAAGTTGGACGAGTCGAGGCGGCGCCCGGACGGGTACACGCGGCCCAGATTGCGACGCGTGTACCTGGGGACCGGCGAGAGCCGTTGATCCGTCATGGAAAGTGCTTTTAGATCTGCTAAAAGAAGCTCCAAGACGCGCCCAGGGTTTTGTGTCTCTAAATGATCGGACAGACAGCGGCAGTACTACGTAGTTTTATGACGAGCTTAAGGGTGTGTCTGGTCCCTTACAAAAAGTGCAGCTGTGCACAGACGAAGCACTACTCGTGAGCTTCTTTTAGAGAGTCTCCAGGTGTGCAAGTCGAGGCCCCAAATTTGTTCTGATTCCGTTCCAGCCCGGTGCTTCAACCGCGACAACCCATGATGTTGTGTTCAGCGTCTCGAGTCCATGGCTCAAGTGTTCTCGCACCACGTAAGACGACCTTCAAAGACTTAGTCAAAGGAAAAAACAAAAAAAAAAGACACCTTAAGGACAAGAACCGACGAGTCTGATCGATTGCGGGTGAAAACGTGATTACCGGGCTTTGCTTGCTATTCTTTGCATCACGATGACCACGACTCGTGACAGACCTTTCTGAGCAATCTAGAAGACCAGATAACAACAACAATGCCTTTGAAGCATTCAACATGTCCAATCGCTCCTCTGTCATCAGACTTCCTCTCGCTGACCAAACCTGGAAACCTGATGGAAATCCTTACCAGACCACGAACCGCGGCCGCTCCGCGATCGCGCGCATGAACGCGGCCTCGCTCGCGTTCACCATGGCCAAACCCTTCCACTGCCGAAACCCTTTCTGCAGACTCGGGATGTAAACCAGTCGCGCCAAGTCGTCTTCTTCGATCGGCCGCGCCGGCTCGTCCGCGTGCGGGATCGGGATCGCCAGCGGATTCCGCTCGCGCTCGCGTTCCGCCGCGGACTCCCCTTCTGCCTCGTCCTCCTCCATGTCTTTCAGCAGCTGCTCCCCTGCCGTCTCTTCGGCGTCGGGCGGCGGCGCGCCCGCTCGCGGCACGTCCACCTCGCGCGCGCGCGTGCGGCACGGCCACGTGCCGCACGGCGCCTCCTCAATTTCCGAAATCTTGCCAGCGGGCTCTTCCGTTTTCCGGCTTTCCGGTGCCGTTTCCGGTGCAAGAACGGAGCCCTCTTCAGCCGGCGCCTGAGATGGCTGGTGGGAACCGCCAGCCGTCTCCATCGTTGAAACATTCTTGCCAGCAACTTCCGGCGTCCGACCTTCCGGTGCAAATTCCGCTGCTACGAAAGCGAAAGCGGAACCCCCTTTCACCCGCTGCTCTTGCGGCCACGTTTTTGAGTAAATCTTTCCGCCTTCCGTTGTCTCCTCTTTCCGCTCTTCCGCTTCTTTCCCCTTTCCTTTCTTAACCAGCTCCGCCTCCCCACCGAAAAGTTCGATCTTTTCGCCGGAACCCTGCGCCTCTCTCCTCCGTCCGATCGAGCTCGCTGACGTCAGCAGCTTCCTTACGGGCGGAACCACCGGCTTCGCTGCCGGTTTTCGCGCTAAGCGTTCCCGCCGCTTCCACTCCTGCATCAGCCGCGCTCTCTCCTTTTCCAACTCCTTCCGGATTTTGCGGAGGCTCTCCTCGTCGGCCGCGCCGCGGCCGCCGTACGCGGCGTGGTACGCCGCGAGCCGCTCGCGCGGGTCCACGCCCAACGGAACCTCCTCCAGCGGAATGTTGCCGGGGGAAAGCCGCCGGAACTCCTCTTCGGGAGTGAGCGTCTCGATCTCGCCCGTCGAACCCTCTTTCCGCGAAACCCGCCCATCCGAATGTCTTTTTTCTCTCGTCGAAGCCCCCTCCGCCAAGTCCCCTCCCTCAACTTTCGATCCGTTCTTTTTCTTCTTCCCACCGTAGAGCTCCTCACTCTCGGACCGCAGAACCCCGCCCGACGTCATCGTGACGTCGCCTTTGCCGCTGTTGTCGTCATCCGGAGCCTTCCTTGACTTGACGTGGATGGCCATCAGGAGCTTTGCCAGCTGTCCGACGTTTCGAGGGGCCCCGGCGTTTCCCCCCGGCGCATCGCTTATGATGATCTTGCGCTTGAGGTCATCGGGGGAAAGGAACTCCCTCGCGTTGCGGGCGTCCGGGGGGGGAACGAAAAGGAGGTTGCCGAAAACGGCGCGGATCGTCTGTGGAAAGGGGCGACTGGTTGTAAAAGCTGGCGACCAGTTTGACCAGTCATCTACGTGTACCAGGTAATTGTCAACTTTGATAATTGGTTTCAAAGCAAAGCTTCGGGCCTGGAATCTCTTTGGATTTTGTTTCTAAGAGCAGCTGATGGCCCAATTTTTCGCTGACATGCAGTACATTCTTCTTCTCTGCGAACCTTTGTGCCATTCAATGCGTTCTGGTGCCAGGTGCCAAAAAAGTGCCGCTTTCTATCCTACAATGACCAGTCATCTGCGGAACCCGTGAGGCAGATTTATTTTCAGTCTGGTTTCGCTTGATATTGATGTGACCCTTGACGAACGGACTAGCCAAAAGGAACAGAAGTTTCTGCTTCTTGAAGAAGGAAGCAGGAACTGTGCATCCGAAAAATCAAAAACCGGCAAGACCAAAATGGTGGATAATTCTGGACCAACAAGAAACGATCAAACGATTCGACGCACACTACCCGTCTAGTAGGACTCCCATACGACATGCCACGCTTTTGCGAGATGGTATTGTCTTCTTACCTGGGCGGCCTTCTTCTGCAGGTGCGGGCTCAGGTGGTTTTCCAGTGTCAGAATGACCGGGTAAATGGACGTCCGAAAGGCGTGGTCCCGGACGGCACGGAGGCAGCCCGCAAAGCTTGCGGCGCCCGCGAACGCTCTACAAGCAAGAGGCGGTTCTCCGTCAGTTCAGCGTGCCGTTCCTTCTTACCGTCACGTGTGATCGATACATTGGACACACTTTGAAAATATATGATTCTACAGCAACTTCAGTATGCCCACCTTGCTTCGTAACGGCACCGCTCTGCAATTGTACAGGAATCATGACACAATCAGGTGATGAAAAGATGGAGAGGCTAGATTATGAGACGAATTCTGGCGTCGTGAGCAATTCTTGGTGATTGATGATGCGGAAACGGAACGTATATCAAGAAACAGAAGAAGCTTGATTATGTTGAGGAAGGAAAACGTTGATTAATGCGAGTAGAAGTCAAAAGACCAACAAATTTTCGTGTGACCACTTCGACCCTCTCCAGATATGTTGTGATTGACGAGCATTCCGTCACCTGGTGGTATGCTGGATGACGATTCTGCCGAATTCTAGCCACAGGTCCAGTTCGATGACGCGGCAGCCCGCGAGCAGCGCGCGCGCGATGGCCCGGGGCGTGCTCCGACTGCCCACCTGGGCGCCCGGGAGATACGTGTTGTGACTGCAGGGAAAGAAGCCCGCAAGTATTTGACAATGCATAATATGTACTTTCCAACACGTATCGTTGTTTGAAGCGGGGTGATTGGAGCCATTTAGGGGCCCAAGTGAAGCCCGGGGACTGTGATCGAAGAACGGGAATTGGGGGGTTTGAGCTGCCTTTTAGATGGCGGCATGAGTATAGAAAGCTTGTCAGATGAAGCTGTAGAAGTGTTGCAATCATCATCGGGTGATTGTGTGGCGGTTAAGACTCTTCGAACGGGGAGTAGAAGAGCGATCATACTTTCCAGAATCCACGGCGAGATTGGCGTAGGTTCAAATGATTTTTAAGTAAGCCAGGGAGCGGTGGAGAGCACTCCACGTACTATCATACGGACGGGTGTAACTAAACCTCCTCATCTTCCATTTGTCTTATCTGGCGGAGCACTCTACTCAATTCAAAAGAACCCGGGCTCCACCGTTCTTGCAAGTTACACCATCAGAAAATCGCACGTTTGTGATCCGTAATCTCGTTTGACATTGGGTGTTCACCTGCTGCTGATGTAGTAGTGGCTGAGCGGCCTTGTCATGTCCTGGGTCGGCGCCCGCGCGGCCGCGTGCGCGGCGTTGAGGTTCGGATCCAGGAGGCGCGCGTAGAACGCGTCGAGATCGACGCTCTCATCCCGCCTCTCTGGCCGCATCGTAAGGATCCTGCAGATAAGATTGCATTCGCACTGCTTTCCTGAAGTTGAGGATGGCGAGACAGATGCTGCAGGCCGATACCCGTGTTGAAAGGTTGTGAACAAACGTTTTAATGGGCAGTTTGGAACTGAGTTCATAAAGGCAATCCTGAACAGACGTATCTGAACAGTGTCTGTAGCCTTTTCAAAAAGAAAGACAGAAAAGACTCTGAATAATCTACATTTTGTGAAAGTTTTGCAGCGTGGCAGGATCATTTGACTGTGCAGACCAAATTTTGCAATCCCTTTATCTTCTCCGTATCAACTCATCTTTTCAATCAGAGCTCCTTCCAGATTAAGACCATCGAGCACAAAGAGCTCACACGCTTGTAATTTGAGAACGAGAAAAGAAGAGGTTAAAGTGCTCACTTGCGAAGGTGCACGCGTTCCTTCTTCAATTTATGCACGTGGCTGCCCCCGTTCTTTTCCCCCATTGGTCCAGTCTGCTGCGTCGTCACGAACACGTGAAGATCCTCCACGGTTGCATTCGCCTCTCCTCCCGTGACCTCATCAAAGAGCGCGCGTACAGCCGGCGGCACCGCGCCCGCGGGCTGCACGCGGCCGCAGCACGCGCTCCACGCGCTCCACGCGCAGACTCGCGCCAAGGGTGACCGGTGCAGGCTTTTGGGTCTTTTCTGCTGACGTGGCGCGCTCTCAGCGGCCGCCGGGTATTCGACCTTGACGTCACTTATTTCAACTTTCGTTTCTATAACCGCTTCTTGAGCAGGGGTCTGAGCTTGGTTGAAGACTTCTGCGGCAGAATAAGGGACGATCGCCGGCTCTGCTGTTTGACTCCTTTCTTGCGGATCAGCGAACCCTAAGTTCCGTTTCAGCATCTCAAGATGTTCTATGCTTTCCACTGGCGACTTCTCCTCGGTCAATCCCTTTTGCAAACCAGAGATCTGTGGCGTCTCAGAATGGGTAGCTCTACCTATTTTCGAATTGGTAAGATACCCTTTCTGGGCAAAGGAAGGACTGGCTGTCTGTGGAACATCTGATAGATGGACGAAGGAGAAGTCTTCTTTGTTGTTGCTCAACTCCGGCCTTTTTGGCGAGCCGAAGGCTAGAAAGTCTTCCAACTCATCCTCACTCTCAACAACCATGCCGCCTGTTTCAGCCTCCTGCGAACCAGCTGCTTTGCGCTCTGCGAGTTTGTCCTCCTGTGCTGACAGGCTCGAAGCCTCCGAAGAGCTGCGCTCTAGTCCCGTCGTGGAAAGCTGAGCCTGACTTCCCTCTTCCACCGCAATCTGACTTTCCTCTACTGAAACGCAGACGGGCGTCCTTGCAGTGCATTCTTGCTTGAAACACAATTCGATGCGCTCCCTTTCCCTTTTGACAAACCCCCGAGGGAACTCTGACGGGTCAAGATTTGCATCCCCCTCCCCCGAAGGCAGGGTGCTTGTTGAGAGCTCCATCTTCTCTGCCGCTTCAGAAGACAGCATCGAGCATCTCTTTTGCGTAAAGAAAGGCAGAATTCCTGAGCAGCCGTGTCTCCATTCTGGAATAGGGCAGAGCGCTCTCGCTTTTTGCGCACAAAGCTTTGCGGCGCAACGCATGCTTTGGCAGCTTCTTGCCTGTCATGCACAAGGACCCAGAGCTTTTACTTCGTTCATCCGTCAGACGTCCTCGCAAACGCTTTGCTCTGCATGCACTTTGACGGCATTTGACGAGCTGCGGGTTTCTTGTAGCACCCCCGTCGATCGGAAGGACAGACTGAAGCAGCAACGTTGGACTGAAACGTGCGCCGCGTCTCACTGGTACTTAGGCAGTCCAAGCTGGCACCTCATGGCACAAAAACTTGTTAAGATCAGACGGCGCGTGTCGGTTAACCTTGGACTTCTCTTCCTGTGTTCTGCAGAACTTGAATTGTCGAACATGCTTTGACATTAGAGGATGGGAGCTGTCGAGTACCAGCCAGATCAAGCTTCAAGTTTTTGGACTGACCGCGCACATGCCCGACGTATCAGAGCTTTCCGTGGGGCACAGGTCAGGCTTCTTGCTATGTTGGTTTAAGCTCGACGTCGTTTACTGACGGTTCGCATGCAGTGAGGGTGCAGTCAACTTGTGAGCCGCCTGCATCTTGCACAAAGAATGAAGAGGCGCGGCGGGTGGGAGCTCAGTGCATATATGGCTATAGCTAACTAGCCTGGTCATAACACAAGAACAGTTGTTCAACTTGTTCTAACTTGTTCAACAGTTCTAAGCCTGGATATCCGGAGAAAAGAAAAGCACATGACCGAAAGAGTTAATTAACATCAAGATATGATAGATTTGCGCAGCATGCTTATATCAAGAGATCTTGTGCATAAATGCGGTCGTTATGTTTGTAAACAGCTCTACATGGGCCGATCGGTGCGCGTGCAATTTCCGTCATCAGCATGCTGCAGTCGCAGATCTGAAGAGACGTACAAGCTCTTCATAGGCATGCAGCTGCTCGTGAGATCGCCCTATTCGTTTCAACGTAACCCTTCTCATGCAAGCCGCCGGAAAAGAACTCCGAACAGACGGTAATATTTGAATGCATTCGGCTCAGCTACGTAGGATTGGATGCCAAACTGGCACACCCGTGTATACGTATACAAAATGTAAGCTGAGATTGGACTCGCTTTCGAAGGTACCATAATTGTCAGCGGCTGGCTGCAATCTGGAACGACAACTTCACAACGTGCCGTGCTGGAAATGCTTTTGGGGACGACATCTGCGCCTTGTGAAAGAAACCTGTACCATGAGTATCCGTCTGCACTTTTTCGGCGGGTGTACGAGTCCAACCAGCCGTGCATGTGACGTGATTGCAACTTCATCGGTAATCCAGAAGCAAGGTCAAATCTCGGCACTAAACCTAACCTAAATGCTGTATTCATGTACTCTTAGCCACTTCGTAGCCGACCATTTGCTCCCCTTCAACACTGGGCAGCCACCTGCACATGCAACAAAAAGGTAAATGGTAAAAACCAACTGAATAAATGCAGAATTGCTGCCAAAGGAACATGTCTTTCCAATCGGCCACTCAGGATCAATGAGTGCATAGCAAGCAGACGCGTCCACATGAGCTAGGTATTTGCTTTGCGTAGGGGCGAACTGCGAGCAAGCTGTAACGTCAGGTTGGCTAGGATTGTTTCTTAAACTTTCAAGATGGTGCACGCTGCTCTGAAGAGATCACTGCTGAAGGTCATAGATGACGTAGACACGACGTCTCAGAACTTGCCAGAAGCGCAGTTTTCCGGCCAGATGTCACCACCTTGGCATACAATCGGCCCCAGCTCGAACGGGTCCACAGAGCTTTGACCTTTCGACCCACAGATCCCAAAGTCTATCCTCCTCACATCTACAGAGGAACGCGTTCGCCAAGTACTTCCGGCAAAATCCTTCCTGATATTGAAAGTGTCGCAAGCAAAGCGGAGACCCACCGTGCAGACTTCTCGAGTCCGGCTTCGCCTCCGGCGTGAGGCTCCAGAAAAGGAGCGCGTCTCCCTTCTTGGGCTTCACGGAGGGACCCCGCCTCCCGCATTCCGACAGCTGGTCGAACCCCGGCCTGTTCACATCGATGCTATCGTGGGCCGCCGGGAACACCGTCTCGCCGCCCTCCTCGACGTCAGTCCTGGTTCAAAGAGGAGGTGTGAATGAGCGATTCTGCTTGCGCGGAACCGGGAGAACAAGACTGGGTCGGAGAATGACATCTGCAGCTTTTTCCTTTCTCGTCACGGGTGCGCCAAACGAAACGGGTCTACAAGGGTTAATTGGAGAGCGATCGAAGCTTTTCAACTCGAGGGGTTTGTCCGGTTGCAATCTCTAGATTGATAAAACCATACGAGAAGCCGGATTGATGTTGGGCAGCTTCGACAGGATGGAACTGCATTCGTCAAAGCCGCTGATTCCGTCTGAAGTATATCACAAGAATGAGATAAAACATTCTCAATAAACCGGTTTATGCAAGAGGCCAAAAGAAAGCGGTCTCTGTTACAGGTCTATCCTCTCTTCGCTCGCTCGCGCTTACAAGTACATGAGCACCGTTGCGATGCGCTGCCCCCCATTGCGCGTGTGCAACTCGCTGTCGAACCAGTCATAGTGCGGGTCGTACTTTTGCCCGTCCTGGTACAGCAGAACCTGAAACCCCTCCCCATGCGCTGCGGAAAAAGATAAAATTCCGTCAAAACCAAAATGGGGGGGTGGCGCAACTCACAGATACAACAGCATGGTGGCCAAACGCTGTCCCCCGTTGCGGGTGTGCATCTCGTTGACGTCGGATGCCGCGTCGAACCAATCCGTGTGCGGCTCGTACTTTTGGCCGTGCTCGTAGTGCAGAATTTGGAAGCCCTCTCCGTGGGCTGCGGAAAAGTGACGGACCGACTCGGTGACCAGGACAGATGAGATCCTTTGGGAGTGGGACTACGAAATGCATGGGGCCGAACAAAAAGAGCGCAACTGAACAGTGACAGGAGGTCAAGTTCTGCCTTCAAGGAGGTTCTGAAACAAAGACGACGACTGTCTCTACCAGAAAATGCTGCGGACAGTTCATGAAGCTGCAGAGAGCGCCGGCCCAGCCCAGCGCGGTGCCAAAGGAAGTACTTTTCCAACTGGGACATCTTACGTGTAAGCTGCGCATATCCATGTTCCCTGACGGCTTTTGTCAACCATGCTTCTCAGATTGCAACGTGCAGAACTCAAAACGAACGCTCTGAGATGTACAATGAAGGATTGCATGATTAACTTCGTGGAAATTTAAGCGAAGCAAACAAAGGGCGGATCCCCCCTCCAACCAAGAAAGCGTTCTCATGTACGTAAAAGTGACACAGTGACTCGACCACGATCCGCAAGGACTCTCTTCTTACGATGCTGAAGACTGACTTGGGCTAGCAAAAGATTCCGATCACAGCCGCCGTCATACGGCACGATGCCAAAGCCTTGGCGTGGTGTAAGATTCTGGATGAGCAAGTCGAGGAACTCACAGACGGGGATAAACGTCACTTTGGCGATTCGCTCCTCGACTGCTCGCACTATCTCATCTTGACCCCGCATCAAAAACGTCCCCGAACTCGTTCGAACCCTGCACGAGCGAACAATTTGGTTCTATAAGCCGTGAGCTTGAGAAAATTTGTCATCGATACCAGGACTGTGCAATGAGATCAGTTGGCTGGTAAGCCTTCTGAAGAGAATTTTCGAGTAAAAGACAGGCTGACACGTTCATTCTGCAAAGATCTCCTTTTTCCCCATTGGAGCACTCCATGACAAACATCAAAGACCAGAAAGCAGTGCTTTTCAGATGCAATTGCCTTTGCAACCTGGCCGCAGAACCTTAATCAGGCATCAAGCATCCCTTGTCCCAAAATATGTCCGCCCGTAGGGAAACCCACATCAATGTAAGAGGGCAACTTCAAGGCTCGTCTTTCTAATGTTTCAATGCAACCACTCAGAGTGCAAGCTTCCATCAAGCAACACTGTCGGCTTCAGTTGCACAATCGGATGAAGACAAAAGAATCTCGGGTGAGATTATAACAGTAGGATCTCACGTGCTGTCCACGCTCTGCCCCGTTTTGCTGTCCACCACAGTACTCCTTTTCATATTGGGCCTAGCTGCCTCGACCAGATGGTCGCACTCGTCGTCCGTCTGAAAGTACCAAAACGATGGGGTCAAGCTCAGTTGCCAATGCTAAGGAACATTGAGGCTCCAGACATTTCAGGCTTTGCCATCGCTGTGGTGTAACTCACTCTCCGATACTCGAAGCAAACCCTTGACAATTCGAACTTTTAGCCAAACTACATTACACTTGAGTGAATTTTCACACAGTGACTGTCTCAACCTTAGCAGGCAGCTCCCATGTATGCACAGCGGGTCAGACCCTGAGCATGATTTGCATCATGGTGCCACTGCCTTTAGGACACAGAAAAGCGGTTGGGTTCTGGGACCTGCAGGTGCAACTTGCGAATCTATCCATGGGCCTTGTTAAAGAGCAGAAAGCTCTCTCCCTAGACTCACATCTGCAGGCCAATGACTGATTGATGACCTGCTAAAATTGGAGTTTTGAAGGGAATTACCGAAGAACTTGCGAGCACCGGAGGAGCTGTTGGAGAATCAGCTTCTCACCAAGAAATTGTGAAGGACAGAAGCCCGGGGCTCCCAAGAAAGCGGCTCCACCCACATCCGTCTTTCTTGGCTCTTCTCCGCAATCGAGCGTGCTACACTATGTCTGCACCACCATTGACAATGTACCCTCAGTATTCCTTAATGCCCATCAGATGGGCACTAGAGTGGGCATACAACGACATTCAAGGCAATCCCAAATAGTGTTGTTAAAACTCTGTTCTAGCTTAGGCCCTTTCTCAATTGCGGATTGCACTGTATGTACCATTCTTCCGGAAACGCACACGGTTTACACAAATTGCAAGCAAGAATGACTGCTGCCTTCAAGCAAAATCCTGGTTTCCTTTAGAGTCTATGGATGTGCACCAAAACCCAAGCTCCAGATAGAAGCCTTGAAAGCCTTGCTTTTCCTGTCTTAGCAGAGGTAAAACTTTTGCAACCCAGAGCAGGTAGTGGCGGGCGAAATTGATAAGGACTTCATAGCAACTACTGAGCTGCTGAAGGCTCTGTTTGCTTTTTAGCAACTCCTGAGTGTAAGAATGTTGTCCAATTGCAAGCAATGGCCTACTGTGCCAGCGAGTAGAAGAGAAGCAAAGCCTCGGGGCATTTATGGAATCTGCTCGACTTGTGAACCCTAATTTGGAGAAGCCAATGGAGACAAGCGTGTCTCTGAAATTCAGCAGAGCAATGGGCCAACTCACGTTTCTCCCTGCCATCCTGGCAATCTCTCCTCATTGTCCTGTGCTTGAGCACACAGCATCAGAAGATAACCCAATGCCAGCAACCCCCACAGCTTCATGTTAGCAATTCAGTTGCAGGTCAGCTTTCACGGCTGCTTTTTGGGACCTCTTGGGCACGCGTATCTAAGGGAACTTTGAGAAGAACGAGGACCCCTTTGCGATCAAACTTCGAAGGTGCCAGAGTTTTCAACAGAGTTGTCAAGCTCGCTCAAGGTAACTTGAGCTCAGTTTCTGAACCGTAACGAGTAGGATCCTGGCTGCCAATGCAATGCCAAACCCCAAACCAGCCTGCAAATAATTCTATATCAGCCCCTCTGGCGCGAGCGCGGATTCCGCGACGCCTGGGCGGAATCGAGAAACGGAACCGCAGCGTTGATCGTCAAGTGCATTATGCACCCCGAGTGGGTGAATCTGCGCACCGGCACATTGTTAAAGTGGGCGTTCTGTTCCGCGGAACGCCGGACGCTAAAGCAACTTCGTCAGCCGTCGGCTACAATCCGTCAGTGTTTGTACCGTAGATGCCATGAAATCGACGGGTCTGCATGCACTTTGTCCTTGAGCCGAGACTCGGTCCTCGGTTGAAACTCATGACTCCGGCTACGGTAAATCGGAAATATGCCTGACTTTGATTAGGCCGGAGCCACGGGCCACGATTTATGTCAATATCGCTGTGGATTGTTGAGCCCTGCGCCGCAAGGCGCCGGAGTCGCCGGGTTCTACAGCGCTTCCAATTTGCAGGGCACAGACGTGACTTCCACACTGCGGGGGCTCACCTTAGTGGAAACCACAGTGATTCTGCATGCGCCGCTCTGCGGAACACCCAAAAAGAACGAAAAAGAATGCACTTCTGCGAGGTTTGAACCCGTGAATTTCTGGCCCGTGACGCAAAACTATCAAAGTAGACTCCTTTTGTTAGTGTCTCCGCCACTCTGATCGGTGTGAATCACACTCAACCCACCTGGAAGCACCTGACACGCAGAGGAGCAGAGGCGCAGA